TGTCTTCCAAACTGGCTGTACCATTTTGCATTACCACCCGCAATAAATGAGAGATTCTATAGTTCCATATCCTTGCCAGTATACATATCCAAAATGTGGACTAACCATCAAATAGAATAACATTTGGCAATAAGAAGGAATGAGGTGCTGACAGATGCTACAACATGGATGAAACTTAAATATATTATGCTAATTAATATGTGATACCATATTTTATATGTACATACAGGACAGGGAAAACTCTAGAGACAGAAGGCAGATTAGTGTTTGTGTAGGGCTGGGGAGGATGCGGCATGGAAGAGTCATAGCTAAGGTTATGATGTTTCTTTTTCCCTTGATGAAAATGTACTAAAATTGATTGGCGTGATGTTTACACATATCTGTGAATGTGCTCAAGTTCCTTGCACTATAGACTTCAAGTGAGTGAATTGGTATGTGAATTGTATCTCAATAAATATGTCATAAAAATCAGTAACATTTATTCTGGGATGGATGAGTAGGAATTATTCAGGCTAAGTGTATTTACCAAACCAGGCCCTTTTTGCCTTCCACACAGTGTGTCAATCACTGAAGCAATGAGTTTTGTTGAAGAGAAAGAGTTTGTTTATAAAGCAGCCAAGTCTGAGGGTAGGAAAGAGAAGTCTCAAATTTCACCTCCCTGAGGATAGGTTTTGAGGATGTTTACTGTGTAAAGAAACAGGGTAGTTTAAGATATGGGGAAAAGTGATCAGAGATGAAGCAATCAGTGGTCTGAACATGTATAGTCAATCTTCATGGCTTTTTCATTGGAAATATGTTCAGAAAATGGTGGCATACGCATTATCCGAGGGTGGAGTTTTTGGCCTCCTGACACCAAAAGATCACCCATTGGACCCCTGCATAGGCCCAAGTGAAGAGTTAGTGGTTTTCACAAAAATGGCCTTCCAGTTCCTGAAAAAATAACCTAGGCATCCTGTCATTATGATCCACACGTCAGAGGTATTATCTATAGCAAAGCTAGTGGTATACTAATAACATATAGCTAAGCTGTGTGACCTCCAGAGTTATTAACTTTTAAAGTCAACCAAAAGCAAATAACTAAGGCTGAGCACTAGGGCTAAGTCAGAGAAATAAAAATTACAGGGTCAGTTAGTGTGTAAATAAGAATACCCCAGTTGTGTTTGTTGGTTGGTAACTTTTAAAGTTAGGATTTTGTTCTCCCATGGAGTCTTGGAGACAGAGGTTTTATTCTATTGAGGGTTACATTTTTGAGAATAGCTCTTAGGTCTTTGATAAATACTTCTGAGATGAAAATGTACATATTTACAATTGTAAACCTTACATTATTTTATTAAATGCCCAGTAGATGGTTGTGGCCTATCCAGCAAGAACTCCATTTTAGGTTCAGGCAGGGAGAATTATGGAAACCAATATGAAGGGTTGAAAAAGAATGAACCTTTGAGGAACTGATAGAATTCCTTCAGCATAGCACATTTGTTATCATTTATTAAATACTTGCTGTTTCAGAGTAGTGATTAAGAGCAAGGGCTTTTACCTTAGGCAGAGATTCCATTTAATAGTTGGAAAATCTTGGCTAAATCTCTTGTTCCTTTTCCATAAAACAATACATTAATGATAAAACAGCTAGAAAAGAACTCAGAATTCACGGAAGGGAAGGACTTGGTTTAAGTTCAAGAACTAATTTGATAATTAAAATGTAAGTATAATAGGATTACACATTAGGAAAAGTTTTAAAAATAATTATTTTTCCTAAACAACCAGAACAAATGAGGCCTGGTGAGATATTAAACTGCCACTTAAAAATAAATGATCCCTCATTTTAGTCATCTTGATATTTGTGGACATGTATATGTATGGTGCTGTACCTCCTATCCTTCATTCTTTAACGATGCATGGTGAACACATAGTACGTATGCACAAATCTACCTAATTCCTTTGTTTATTCGTTTATTTTTGCAATGCTGGGAATCAAATCCAGGGCCTTGTATATGCCAGACAAGAGCTACATCTGCATTGAGCTACATCTGCAGCCATACCTCCTTCTTTCTTTAAAATAATTTTTTAGATGTAGATGGATACAATACCTTTATTTTATTTGTTTATTTTTATGTGTTGCCAAGGATCAAACCCAGTTCCTCACACATGCTAGGCAAGCACTCTACCACTGAGCCATAACCCTGCCCCCCCTACCTCTTTCTTTAAACAGATACTTTCCAACACTATATTGAAAATAGTAAGAAGGATGTGAACAAAAGATTTAAATAAACATTTCTCAAAGTAAAAATATGCAAATGGCCAAAGAGCACATGAAAAGATGCTCTCTACCCAACTAAGTTATCCATCCAGTTGTGCAAGTATGTTTTCCTAAGGCTATTGCAAAATACCAGTGACAGAATATCAAATAACTGCTTTTCAATACTGTGATGTGAGTGAACTTCCCCCTTTTCTGGCCTTTACCCTACTTTGAACTTTCCTTGAAGAGAGAACAGAAAAACTTTTCTTTTAGTTTTTCCTTTTCACAGAGGCTACGTTGAGGTTAGTATATGGGATCTGGGGTTGATTTTCAAACACACATCCTCCTGTCAGTTTCCTAGTAAAAATTTTTGCATAAGATTACTCTTGTCTTTGGTGTTTTTTTCTGATGAATCCATTGACTTTGCCCTTCTACCTCTTTTATTTAGGAATGCCATGGTAGTTTTGTCTTATTGTAATTTTAAAGTTCTCCAAAGGCCAATGTCTCGGCTCCCGAATCACGAGCCACCACACAGCTTTGTAGATTCAAACAGCAATTCTTTATTCCCGCTCTCACACCGCCTCCACACAGGTCCAGGGGCAAACACGTTCTGCCATCTCCCGCACAAACCACCTACTCCACGAGGCTATCTCCAAAATCCCATTTTAATCTCACGAGAACTCAATGGGAACAAGCAGCAGGAACACCCTAATCCCAGCAATAATCTTCAACTTCCAACTTCCCTAAAACCCATTATCTTAAACTGGCAACGCCTTAAACTCAAGGAGCCGGTTACTTCCTCAAACCTGATCAGCTCTAAACCCGGATCTGCCTAGGTCCTTGAGCAAAGTCACCTCATTAAAGCATGCATGCAATGTCCCATCAAATGTCCTCTAAGCAGCATGGGGTACGCTTGGCAAGGAAATTTCGATGCGTCATTCCTACTTGGTAATGGCCCTCAGCAATTGTTTTTCTTTTTTCTTGTGTTTTTGTTTGTATCTTGGATTGAACCCAGGGGTACTTAACCACAGAGTCACAACACTAGCCTTTCTTTTTTATTTTGAGACAGGGTCTTGCTAAATTGCTTAGGGCCTCACCAAGGGCTGGCCTTGAACTTGTGTTCCTCCTGCCTCAAACTCACAAGCCCCTGGGATTACAGACGTGCGCCACCACGCTTGGCTAATGACTGTTTATCTTAATGCTTGCGATTGACATTAGGATTTATTGTACTAAGAAAACTGTTATTGGGAGTGGCAATCTGCCAAAGACTGAGTGTCCCTGCATGTTCTTATTGGGTATGCCAAGAATGTATGACCATTCTTCGCTGAGGCAGATAATTTTTCAAGTGGGTTTGCAGCAAGTAACCTTGAGGGCTGGGAAAACATCTTTCCCTGAAGAGAGAGCATGCTTGCTTCTGCTTACTATGAATACAGGCAGTTCCCCAAACTCAGGGTTTCTTTCCTGTAATGCAAAGCACTGCATGTTCAAGCATTCATCATGGGTCCCATGTTGACCCATGAGATTTGGCAATCAAAGGGAGCCAATGCAAACCAACACGAATCTCTGCCTATTGCTTTTGCTGTAATAATGCCCTTAATCTCTGACCCAGAAGTCTAGGTCTTCTGCCAGCATCCATTAAAAGGTAGCAGGCTAAGTTTTTAGCTTTAAGTAGGGTAAAACTTCAGATTCTTCCGTTCTTGGCAAGTGTTTGCAGACATTAGCCCTAAAGTAATTATGCTAGGGAACTGTTTTCTACCAGGATGAATTTGCCATATCTGTGTATCACCCATGCTATTAATATTGTGTTCTACTTCAAACTGACTCATTTATGAAATTTTAATAATTTTTGGGAAGGAAATTTTATAACATCACCCAAATCTAAACTAACATCACTTGCTTTAAACTGAAATCATTTATTAACAATTTAGTACACATTACATTACAATTTATAATATTTGTGTACTATCAATAATCATCTTCCTCTACCATCAGGCCCTGCTACTTTAAACCCTAATTATCTGATTACATCCAGAGCAGTCATGCCTGGGACTACCACTACTAATGTTTCTCATTAGTGAATTTTGAAGTACTATGTTGTTCCTTATAAAAAGTTCCCTTCAAGCCCCTCCCGAGAAGGAAAAGGGGGAAAGGAAGTTTAGAACTCTGACCTGCAAAGGAGATTGTTGTCCTCCTCTACACAAACCTGTCTAGGACAGCCTGGCAAACAGCCCAGAGGCAGAGAAACAAAAGTCACGCCCACCTAGAGGGGAGTATGACTTGAGGGAGCCTTTCCTCATCCTATCTGATCACTCCCCTTCTGAACAACAGGTGGCTGCCTTTTCCTGCACCTGAAATTTATCTCACTCCACCTTGAATTCCAACCCCACCAGCATCTGTAGGACTGTTGTAACCTTGAAGTATGTTCTGGAGGCATGAAGAGCACCCCTCACACACAAAAAAAAGCATTATAGAGGTGAGAAACTACTCTCTCCATCCTTCCAAATAGCTGAAACAAATCTTAGGGAGTTTGGATTCTGCATGAGCAGATGGAGACAAAGCCCTCTCAAACTGTTCTCAGTAATTACCTAATTTGGCTCCTATGAGATTCCTGTGAGATTGTTATTTTACTGATGAGAAAAGATGTAAAATTTAATGTTTCAGCTAAGTGATCTGGTGGTACTTTGAAGTTCACATTTGTTTCTAATATCTGGTCAATGAATAATAAGTGCCTCAGTACTTTCAGAAATAAACAGATAAATGCTATAGGTTACTGCTTTTTAGTTATAAAATTTTATTATTTTAGCAACAATAATGTGTATTCATTTTAGGAATATGGAAAATACAAACAAGCAGAAGATTGTATTCATAATCCCATCACTGAAACTGAACTTTTTTTTTTTTTGGGCAGCACAGAGAATTGAACAAAGGAGTTCAATTCTCCACTAAGCTACATCCCCAGCCTTTTTTATTTTATGGCCAGGGTCTTGCTAAGTTGCAGAAGCTGGTGTTGAACTTGTGGTCCTCCTCTCCTGCCTCAGCCTCACAAATTGCTAGGATTATAGGCCTGTGCCACCATGCCCAGCTTGCCTTAACTTTTTTGTCTCTTATTCTTCCCAAGTTTTAATGAGCATATATGTAATATACAAATGTACTTTTACCTTATTCAAAAATATGATATTCACATATTATTTAGTAACCTTCCCCCCATTTTATATGCTAACAGGAACCTCTTTTTTACAGTGAGTAAATCTTTCTTATTCAAAGACAGAGACTTGTAGATAGGTTCAAAATACAATAAACAATGAGATGCAGATAACAAGAGCTATATCTAAAACCACTAACAGCAACTGGTTAAAAGTAGAAAGATGGGCAAAGATATATCAGGAAAAATGCTAATAAAACGAAAGCTACATAGCAATGTTAATGTCAGATAAAACAGAAATCAAGGTAAACTACATCAAATAAGGGTAAGGATGGTTTCTATTGACCTTCCAACGCATCACTATAAGTTTGTTTCTTACTCTCCTTATCTCATCTACTTCATCCACTTCCCTAAACATATCCTCATTGCTCAAATGCCTGTTATGTATATCTTCTTTAAAATCCTGGAGAGATTGAATCAGCCTTTCTCTAAAAGTTTCTTCTGCGTTTTCCTCCTCCTCTGGTTCATCCTCTTCCTCTGGCTTTTCCTCAGGCTTTGGCTCTTCCTCCAGCTTTGGTTCATTCTCATTGTCTGGTTTTTCTTCAATTTTCTGACAGGGTTTCATCTTGTGCCTCTCTTTCTTCTTTCCTGCTTATTCCTCTTTGAATGCAATTACTTCTAGGAAACAAGGAGACAATGAGTCATAGGCTTGGAGAATGTACAGGTGCTCCACGCTGAGGGGCTCGGCATTTGCTTTTTTTTTTTTTTTTTAAATTTCAGAGCTGACGTCATCAAATATCTTCCACCTGAGAAGCCCAGTCAGCAATCAGTGCTTCCCTGACCCCGCCCTCTTACCTCCACTTTCCGCCGCGCCTCCCTTCTCTCTCTCGTCCCTCCCTCCAGCTTTTTCCAAGGCCCTCCTTCCCGCCTCCCGGCCCTCCCCAACCCTTTCTCCCTCACGGGGGCCCTCCCGGAACGCAGAAGGTTGGCTTGGAGGGGGAAAGGAAGGAGGGGGAGGGGAGAAGGGACCGTGGGGCCTACAACCCCACCCTCACCCACCTCTACCCCCAGAGTCTTTATATTGTTCCTCTTACTTACCTGGTATTGATCCGGTCTGCTTCTTTCTCCTACTTTTATAGCCTCAGAAGGTTCTAACAGACCTGCGGACAAACCCGAGAAGGGAGGCAATGGTGGGGGTGGGGCGAGTAGTTGGTGGGCCGACCAGCACCCGAAACCAGGCACAAGTAGCTTTTCTCATCTAAGGTTTCAGTTATGGAAAGTTTCCCATCTTTTGTTTTCCCCAGTTCGCCTCTTCGCCATAGAGCAAGTTAACTCGTCTCTCTCATTATTCAGGGAGTGGGAAGAGCAGATTATTTCCAAACTATCTTTAAAACTGAGGCAGGATTTGCGGCCAGGGTGAATGTCGACAAAGGGGTCAGATCTCACAGGATGATTATTTTTAGATGTTCACAAGTCTACTTTATCTTCTCTCGGGACCCCTAGTTCCTTTCCCAGGGGTCATCATTTCCTGCAGATCTGGAGGTGAGGGTGGAAAAATGGACTTCCCTGGGACTCCTTTAAGTCTCCACCGCAGGACCACCCCACACAAGAAATCCCCAGACAACATCCATATTGACACCAACCTGCAAAATTCCAGCAAGTTGAATCCTTCCACTGGCCTCCGGCGCTGCCGCCAGCACTGCCGAAGGGAGCTGGTACCCAGACGGGAACAAGGACCAGACTAGCAGGACTTCTGCACACGTCGACTCCTGGTCACATGAGATCTACGTCACCAGTGAGCTCGGGTCCCCAATTTCCACTCCCACCAAAAGCGCGGCAGATATGGGCCCGCCCTCAATTCCCTCCCTGCCCGCCTCTTATACATTTGGCCCCGTCAGTCTTTTCTTTTATTGCCTATTCCAAAGGAGAAAAAAAAAAAAAAAGTTATTCGCTGTTTTCTCTGATTACCATGGAGGGGGTGCATCTTTTTCTGGAGCTACTGAACTTTTCTACTTTTTTCAATAATTGAATTTTCCTGTTTGCTGCTCTAGGATCCCTAATTCCGCCATCCATTGTCCCTCCCCCAGCCTCCATTTCATCTGCATTCTTGTCCTTAGCTCTTTTGGAGCCAGGTAGGCTGGGCAGTAGTTGTAAAAATTAAAAGGAGCCTGGAACAGTAGTGAGATTTTTGAATGCAGCTTTAGCTCTATTTTTAATACTTATATAGTCGTTTTAAAAAGTAAGTCCTATTTTTTAAGTCATAAAAAGCAAAGACAAAATTACTTTAGTTACATTAATTAATATATATAAAGCACTTAGAACAGTGTTTGGCATAAAGTAAGTGCTTTAAAAGTGCATCATGGCTGAGTGTGGTAGCACATATACCTATAATACTGGGAGACTGAGGCACAAGGATCACAAGTTCAAGGCCAACCTCAGCAACCTGGTGAGGCCCAAGCAACTTAGCAAGACCCTGTCTCTAAATAAAAAATTTAAAAGGGCTGGTGTAAAGTACACCTGGTTTCAATCCCCAGTACAAAAAAAAAAAGGTGGGGGATGCTGTTATTATATTATGATTTTATTCAGGTAAAACAAAGAAAAACGATATTTGATTCTAGAACTCTTGTGATGGCATTTCCAAGAACTTGTGTTTTCTGAAGATTCACCAATTGATCAATTGTCAGGTACACATTGTAAGCCCCAGTTTCTTCATCTGAAAGGAGTTGATATCAAAAGTCTGTGAGTTGGGCTGGGATTGTGGCCCAGTGGTAAAGCACTTGCCTAGCACATATGCGGTACTGGGTTCAGTTCTCAGCACCACATATAAATAAATGAATTAAATAAAGATCCATCAACTAAAATTTTTTTTAAAAGTCTATGAGTTAATTTCTGGGAAGTCTTGATGATAAATAACACTGATGTAAAGCATTTGGCTCATATAAAGTCTTCAACAAATATTAGTTATTGATGGGGCATGGTGGTACCTGTCTGTAATTCCAGCCAGCCCCAGCAATTTAGCAAGGTCCTAAGCAACTTGGTGACACCCTATCTCAAAATGAGCTGGGAATGTTGCTCAGTGATTAAGCACTCCTGGGTTCAATCCCTGGTACCAACAATATATATATATATATATATATATATATAGTATCAACCTTACTTTAGGCTGGTAAAAGTCACAAATTTGCAAATAAAAAATTTACAAATTGCTTAGCTCTTAATGGCAATATCTAAAAAGTAATAGCAGGAGACACAAAAACATATAGAAAACATATTTTTGTTTTCTATAAGCTTTGATGCCCCTTTGTGAAGGAAAATAAAGAGCTCAATGGATCTGTGGAAAAGAAAAAATACCCCACATGCCTTGAGATTTTATTTCACTGCTCTTTGATCACATTATTATATCTTCTGGGAAATGTGTGCACTTAATCCCTAGAGAACTCAATATGTAATGGTTTGGGACTGCTGGACAGAACTCTGCTTTGAGAGAGCTGTTAGTCCCTGCCATGTTTTGAATATGGTTTATGTGTGCCCAAAAGGGAGCACATATATTGGAAATTTGGTCCTAGTGTGGTTATGTGGAAGGTAATGGAATCTTAAGAAATGGGTCCTACTGTTAGGTCATTAGGTCATTGAGGGCAGTGCCCTCAAAAGAAATTGATGTGATTTTTCATTGGACTCTCTTTGATTCTCATAATAGGGTTATTATAAAAGGGCAAGCCTGACTCCTGAATTGCTCTCCAGCTTCCTGTCTCACCATGTGATCTATCCTCACATACTCTTGCTGTAATGCCATTCACCATGTGGTATTGTTGCCAGAAGGCCTTCACCAGAGGGAATCAGTGTTGGTGCTATGCCCTTGAACTTTCAGAACTGTAAGCTAAATACACCTCTTTCATTATAAAATACTCAGTCTCAGGTATTTCATTATAGTAACAGGGGGAACTAGATGTTATACCTGGTGTTGGGGCAGGCTCAAAATGGCTATGGTTAGGCTCCCTCACTAAGACTTCTGATGGGATGTTATGTTTTTAGTGTGTAGCCAGGGCTGGGAACTGGCTATGTTTTGGTTAGTCAAGGCCAGAAACACTCTGATTCAGTGTATATACTCAAAGTGGTAAACATTAATTTGTGAACATGTGCCCTGCCCCCACCCCTTATGTACCTGGTGGTGGTGTGCCTTCTTTGTTTGTCTTGCATATAAAAAGAGCCTCTGGAAAAAATGTGGGGGTAAATGAAGGCAAAATGGACTAATGGGGGGCTAATGGAGACAGAATGAGGACTAAAATGGACCTGGCTAGAGCTGGAGCTGAAGCTGGATGCTGTGACCACCACTGAATAAAGCATGTCTACTATCCTAACTGTGTCTAGAATCTTCTTCCACCTGCCAAACCTCAAATTCATTTCCTGGGTCAAAGCCATTGCTTGACAGCTGCTGTAGTTGGCAGGATGTTCCTCAAGTGAGAGATGCCTCAACCCCAGTAGACAGGGGGGACCTATGGCCACCAAGCAGCATGTAGCACTTGGTTGCCAAGGTCCTATTAGCATGATATCCTCTGTAGAGTTGGGATAAAATGGATGGATTTCCTGTAAGCATATAGAATACTTCTGATTGCCCTGTGGTGAACATGGACTCAGCAGAAGGATGTGTTACAGAACCCAGGTGCCATCCTGCAGAATGATGGGTTACAGAACACAGGTGCCAGCCTGCAGCCAAGAACAAAGATCGAAATGGTGGTGCAGATGAAACAAAGAAATAGACTGAGGAATTAATTGCATGCAAGGCTGCTGGGGCTGTGGGATAAATGTTTCTTACAGCTCTGAGAGAAAAAAACGGATGCAGTTTTATCACAGACTGCCAAGATGAAGGAGTTACAAGATAAGGAAGAGGCCGTAAGAGCCAGAGTATAGTCACTGGAGGAGAATCTCCAATATCTTGAAAATACCCACTGGCCTCCCCCATAGTGCTAATGGAGTCCCAGGAGGATGAGGAAGAATAATGCCTGCAAACCTGGCCAGTGGTAATGCTGAAAATTTAGCAGCAGCAGCTGATGGGCAGCTGACGGCAGAGCTAGGCCCAGGAACCATGTTCACTATATTCAGCCTGTCAAGCAGAGCTGGGGGGACTTGGGAAAATAATTTAGATGGAGGCCAAGAGAGCTCCTGGCCACCTTTCTGTTATGCCTATGAAATTTAGGGGTTCCAGAAGCTGGCAGGAGAAACAGACTCCAGGAGGTGCTAGGCCCCATTACCTTTGTAGGTGAACCATAAACAAGCCATACCTTGGAGGTAAGACACCTATATTGTTCAGTGTTTGATGCACTGATGACTCCAGCCATGGACAATTATTTGTGTGGATGTCAGTGGCTCTGTAGTCTAAAACAGACATTGTCTGGTTTGGTACTAATTCAAGACAAAATAGTCAGTGAATTGAGCTAAATGGTGATAGCATATGGGGCAACCCCCATAGTGATATGTACTGACAGTTGTCAAGGTCATAAACATTAACTTGTGAGTATGCACTCCCTTTATGTAACCTGTTAGCAGTGTCCCTTCTTTGTTTGGCCTGCATATAAAAAAGGCCTTTGGAAAAGATGTGAGGGTTAATGAAGGCCAAATGGGCTAATGGGGGCAAAATGAGGACTAAAATGGAACTGGCTAGGAGCTGGAGATGAAGCTGGAGGCTGAAGGCTGTGACTACCACTGAATAAAGCATATCTACTATACTAATTGAATCTTACATCTTCTTCTACCTGCAGGACCCCAAACCTATTTGCTGAGTCAGAATATCCACGTGACACCTGGAAAGTCAGAACCTCCTTCAAATGAGTCCATTTTGAAAAAGACATAAAGAAAGGGGGACTTTTGGGTCTTGACCTGTGTAAAAATACTATGACCTGGTTCTCAGAGGATGAGCAGGATCTAGATGGAGGGAGAGAATGTAAAAGAGCAATCTAATTGAACCCAGATCTTGTGCCAATATCAATTATTCTACCCTGTCTTTTGCTTCCTTGTTGGGCATTTAAATCTATTGATGACAGTATGGCTAAAAGTGGGTTTAATGCAAGCCCATTATGGCATAGCCTCTACTACTCCAAGAACTTTCTCACATATTTCTAGGTCATGAAATCTGAATCTGTCTATCTTTCTGGGAAGTACTTAGGCAATTGCATGTAAAATATGTATCTCCTTTGAGTATATGAACCCATTACAATTTGTTCAACATAGGAAAACACTTCATGGTATTGATAAGATTTTCTACAATGAAGTTTGTAGATCTCATTTCCCAGCATCTGTCCTTTGACTTGGACCTGGATATATATTGAATAGCTACAGGTGAAAAGCAGCACTAAAAGGGAGTTGGGAACACATAATTGTTCTAGGCTACACAGACTTACCTACAAGGATGGGCACATGGACATGCACATTCTCACAAACCTAGCATTCTCCTAGATGATTTTGCTAAAGGATAAAAGAAAAGAAATTTCACAATTCTGTTAAAACTATTTAAATTGCATAAATAGTATGTACCATTCAAAAATAGAAAATTACTATTGGGATATATAAGAACATAATTTTTTATAATAGGAACAAATCAGAAGCAAACTAAATGTCTTACAATAGGGATAAGGTTAAATTAATTATATAACAACCATATAATAGAATTCCAAGAAAACATTAAAATTAGATTGTTTTAAATAGAATGTATGCTTCTCCCTAACATTTATATATTGGAACCTAATCCTCAGTAGGATGGTATCTGGAGGTGAGGCCTTTGGGAGGAAATTAGATCAAGATGGT